AACCTGCTACTGGCAATTTCTGGAAACAACTGAAGATGTTTTCATTCCCACAAGTTTTCCCAGGTGGATGAATAGTTTGCTGCCATGAGTCTCTATTTAGCATTCTTTGGAAACATATTTACTTTTTTCTGTGTTGTTTTAACTGCTTTTCAGCTGTGTTAATTGCATTTTGTACACTGCCTTTTGAGGAAGATAATAATAATTATAACCATAATAAATAGAGGTCCTGATGAATTTTCATGAGAACTTTAAAAAAAAAGGAAATAGCCAGCTGATATGGAGATGGGAAGAGCTGAACTTAAATATTGGAAAAATGAGAAACAGAGAGAAACTGAAAATAATAAATTTGCCCACTTCCTGCAGATCTCCCCCTACGCTGAAGGAAATACTTGCTGACATTCCCCCTTCTACACAAATGTTAATGGGGCAGGAGTCCCTGTCCTCTTTTTCATCTCATCTCCCCCTCATCTCCTCTAAAATCTGCTCTGGAAAGTTGCTCCCAGCATTTGCTTGGGTGAGGAGAAAACATGATGCAGACAGTGATGTTGAAGCTGGAAGCTCCTCATATCCTTCAGAAGAAGGATTTTGACAAGCTGGAACTTGTACAGAGGAGGGCGACCAATCAAACCTCTGGAAACCAAGCCTTATAAGGAATGATTGAAGGAGCTGGGTAAGTTTAGCCTGGAAAAGAGGAGATTGAGAGGAGATATGATGGCCATCAAATATCTTAAAGGATGTCACACAGAAGAGGGAATAAGCTTGTTTTCTTCTGCTCCAGAGGGTAGGGCATCAAATGGCTTCAAATTACAAGACTGCACAAGAGGAAGAAATAGTTTATTTTTTAGAAAAGTGCTAACATTCTGCAGGCTGCAGAGCAGCTATTGAGCCCGCATGACAAGCTGGCTTTGCAAACCAGGCAGTCAGGAAGGACACCAAACTCTCCTCAGAGTGATCCTAGACTGACCGCAAAGCCTGTGTCTGACACCTTCAGCCTTAGGGGACATCATTGGGGGGGGGGCACCGGGCATTGCTCCCTTCAAGGGTTTCTCCAGCCTCATGCAGAGAGACTTGCCTTCCCTTCCCCCAGCTTGTCCTCCAGCTTCCTTCAGTCTTGGGATCTGGAGCTCTTCGCCACCCCCACCCTCCGACTCCCTCACAGTGCAGACCAGGCAGGCAGGGAGCAGCTGCATCTGCAAAGCCATCAGAGAAGTATCTACAGCAGGAATTTCTTGTCCCATGCTCTAAGTGCCAGCAGTGGGAATTTTAATCTGAAATCTTTTGACACACTGTACTGTGGTAAGAGTTCAGAAATGGCTGGCGCTAAATAAGTTCCCTATGGCAGAATGCCCCTATCACTATGGGTCTTTCGGAATCTGGGATATGATCAAAAAATAATAAATCGGTGCAATCATGTACTGCTCAGCAACAGAGCATTTATAATAAATTATATTATCAGCTCTGTTGCTGTTTATTTATTTATCCTGCTTAATCTTAGAAAGGGGAAAGTAGCTGCAGCTTTTTGTTATCTTCAATCAGAAATTACATCCTGTTTACAAGTTTTCTTCTCCCCCACGCTTGACCAGCACACAGTTCTGCTCAAACAGGTGATTTCTGAGAAAAGGAAACCTAAATGAGTTCGCCCTAGATCCTCCCCCTTGTAAATAATTTCTTGGACTGTGCTGGGTCATGACAGAGAGCAAAAGGAAGCAGAAATTTCTCCAGCCTGAAAGCAGAGGAGGAGAATGCAAAGGAAGTTTCCCTCAATAGTCAAAAGAACAAATTGCTGGAGTCTTTGTATCATGTCATCCCATTTCTCCTGAGTTTTGATGCAGTGTGATCCCCACATGACTGGCTCCAAAGGGCTGAAAAACTGAAGCATATGGGGTGGTGTGGGGTAAAAACAGGAGCCCTATGCCTACGTTACCAAAGTTATGGCTTCCCCCAAAGAATTCTAGGTATGGTAGTTAGTTAAAGGTGCTGAGACTTGTTAGCAGCCTCTTTAATCAGAAGTGCCTGGGCACCATTTTGGCGTGCAGAGCAGAGCAGCGATGGGTGAAAGAGGGAGAGGAGCTGGGGAGCATGAGAATGACTTGCACACAGTTATAGGACCAGCTACCAGGGGCCGAGGTATTGAAATATTGAAATATTGGAGGGGGGCTGCTCCACATCTTGTGATCTACGAGGTGAGGCAGGGCTTACCTGCCTCCCCCCATATTTTAAGTTGGCAACCCAGCACACAGTCCTGTTACCTCTGTTGCTTGGCTCCCTCTCCATCTCCAAGCCCAGCAGGAGTCATGTTCCTGCTACTTTTTCACAAGGGCAATGCCCATCAACTTTTTTGGGAGGGGTTGCCCCTCAAATATGATATTTGCAGGGGAAACACATGTAGACTCCTAACTCTGTGGTTAAAGTGGTTATCAGAGGCTGTCACAGGGGGAGGGGCCTGCTCTGAAGCATGCTGGGCAAGTGTAAACCCCATGAGACTCTTTTCGCTATAAAAAAACGATCTCGTGAAGCTCCTGTCAGAAGTCCCTACCGGCATTAATGAGTGACTCTCAACCCTTCAAATAAAGCTCACCAAAAACCAACATGCTACTATTATAAGGCTTATGCATCAACACTAGATGGTGATGAAGATATTAAAGAAAAATGTTACTCTCAGCTGGATACCGTCCTATCAGAGACGCCTAAGAAAGATAAAACTATCTTCCTGGGTGATTTAAATGCAAGAGTTGGGCAAGATATTGTTCTGTGGCCTGGGACTATTGGGAAAGAAGGAGTTGGCAACAGCAACCAGAACGGAATCTTACTTTTTACGATATGTGCAGCGCACAACATTGTTATTACCAAAGAGTTTTTACACACTCTTTCGACAGAAAAATAAATTTAAAACTTCATGGAGGCATCCTCAGTCAAACCACTGGCACCTCTTAGACTATGTTATTGCCCATGCTAAAGATTGATGTGATGTGCTCCTTACCAGAGCCATGACAAGTGCTGATGACTGCCAGTCAGATCACCGACTAATACACTCCACGATGGCTATCAAGATTATACCTCAACGCAGGCTTCAAGGAAGTAAACCAAGGCTCAAAATGAACACTCAAGCCCTTCAAGATCCCATTAAGCGGGATTGCTTCCAAACGACTCTTAAGGACCATCTGCTTTCAGAATTCCCTGATAACATTGAGGAACACTGGACCAAGCTAAAACATCCATTATAGCAGCCTGTGAACAAACTATTGCATACCAAACCAAGAAACACCAGGATTGGTTTGATGAGAATGACAGTGAGATTGAATGCATGATTGACAAGAAAAGGAAGGCCTTTCACATCTGGCAAAGAGATAGAAACTGTGCCTCTTAGAAAAAAACCTATGCCATTGCTAAGGCTGAGGTTCAAAGAAGAACCAGAGAACCACAAAAAAAAACACCTGGTGGGTAAAAAAAGCTCAAGAAATCCAGCACTTAGCTGACACTCATGATGCACAGAGTTTCTTTAAAGCCACAAAGACCATCTATGGGCCAATAAATCATGGCATATGCCCCCTACACTCAGCAGACGGTATCACACTTCTAAAAGATAAAGAAGCTATTGCACTGCACTGGAAAGAATATTACCAACATCTCCTTAACCGCAACTCACCCGTAGCTGCTGAGGTCCTCTCTCAAATTCCGTAAAAACAAGTTAGAGATGAGCTTGCAGTATCTCTAAATCTGGGAGAGTTGTGGACATCTATTACCCAAATGAAAAACAAAAAAGCCAGTAGACCTAATGGATACCTGCCAAAATCTTCAAAGTGGGCGGAATTGAACTTACACAACAACTTCACAAGATCATTGAAAAAATCTGGGAAAGAGAAGAGATCCCAATCAAATTATCAATCTCTTTTAAAAAGGTGACAGAACTGATTGTGGAAACTATCAAGGCATCTCTCGGCTGCAGCCGGCAAAATTATTGCAAGGATCTTAGCAAACTGTCTCTTAACAATATCCGAAGTGACCCTTCCTGAATCCTAAAATGGTTTTCGGCCTTCTAGGGGGACAGTGGACATGATTTTCACCACTCGACAGCTTCAAGAAAAATGCAGAGAGCAAAACCAACCCCTGTATATGGTGTTTATTAACCTGACTAAGGCTTTTGACACTGTAAATCGTAATGCCCTGTGGACTTTTCAGTCTGAGCAGGCTGAAAGCAAAGAGTGAGGTTACCATAACTTCCATCACAGAGGTTCAGTATGCTGATGACAACGTAGTGTGCACACACTCAGAGGATGACCTCCAAACCATCCTAAATATCTTTGCAGAAGCTTGCAAAAAGCTTGGCCTATCACTCAACATCCAAAAAACCAAAGTGCTGCACCAACAAGTACAAAACAACCCCTCTGCAGCGCCACATATCCAACTCAATGGTGTAACGTTAAAAAATGTTGATCACTTCTCCTACCTAGGCAGTTATCTTTCCACAAGGGCCAGCATTGATGCTGAAATCCAGCATCACCTGAGCTCTGTGAATGCAGCTTTCTCCTGATTGAAGTGCAGAGTGCTTGAGGACCCGGACATTCGCAGGGAAACCAAAATGCTTGTTTACAAAGCTATTGTACTACCAGCCTTACTATATGCTTGTGAAACATGGACCACTTATAAACACCATCTCCAGCTCCTCGAAAGATTCCATCAACGGTGTCTCTGAAAAATTTTACACATCACTTGGGAAGACAGGCGAACTAATATCAGTGTGCTGGCAGAAGCAAAGATGACCAGTGTTGAAGTAACTTTGTAAATGGCATGGCATAGGTCTCTCCTATGAAAGTAGCTGTGGGTTTTTATGATATTGCAGTAGAAATTAGATCCTGTTTACAAGTTTTCCTCTCGGCCTTCCCCGCCCAGCACACAGCTCTGCTCAAACAAGTGATTTCTGAGAAAACGAAAGCTAAATGGTGTTGCTGCACATCCTCCTTCTTGTAAATCATTTATTGGACTGTGCTGGGTCCTGATTGGGAGCAAAAGCTCACACTGCTTCAAAACTCAGGAGAAAAGTCTTAGAAAAGCTCATTCTGTAACCCAGTAGACTGCAGTTGGGAATTTTGATGTGAAAATTCCAAACAGGAGTGAGGGAGGGGGTCCAGGCAGCGAGCAACCACAGCCTCTTCTGCACCTGTTTGTTATGCTCAAAGCCTAGCTGAGGGGAGACCACAGATTTCCTGTTGCTCTCATCAACTCACAAGAACGAAAGCATCAGTCTGTTGAGATCTTCTAGCTCTTCTGCCACAAAGTCCAGAGAGGACAGGAGAGAGTGTGAGCAGCTGAAGTGAGAAGACAAACTATCCTATCCTCAAACGTCTGTTTGTCAAGAATCTCAAGGAGCAAGTAAGTCTTAACAGAGGTTCTTCAAAATCTTTCCCTCCCAGCCTGCTTTCCCCTCAGTGGCGTAGCGTGGGGGGTGCAGGGGGGCCGGCCGCACCGGGCGCAACATCTGGGGGTTAGGGTTAGGGGGCACAAATCCACGGGTTAGGGGGCGCAAATCCATGGGTTAGGGGGCGCAAATTACTTGCCTTGCCCCGGGTGCTGACAACCCACGCTACGCCACTGTTTCCCCTTGCTCAGCTGGCAGGCTTGTGATCCCAATGAGGTTTGATCTCCTGCTGCTCTGAAGCTTTCCCCTAAGATTAATAGCAGCACTGGGAGGAGAGGGATTATCATCAGAATCATGGGATGGGGAGGGAAAGTTATAAACTCTCCTTTGCCTGGGCTGTTGAGCTGACTGGTGAAGAGCTAGAGTGCATATAAAGAGTCTGGACAGAAGAGGTTAACAGTTATCTGAAGCCTCCTCCCTCCCCAATTGCCGATGAAACTAGGCAAAAGTGAACAATGACTGGCTGTTATGCACATGAACTGCTCCACTGGCATCACCCCAAATGCATGCACAATCTAGTTTTTGCTTGGAATGAAGGTCACTGGAAACGGTGGTGTCTTTTTGATATATGGTGCTGTGTTTGTGCGTGTGTGTGCACACCCACCCATCACCTCAGCACAAGCTGAAAGGTCTCACAGCAGTAACACTCCAACAGATGTTAATTCCCCAAAAGTTTTATTGCAGGGTTTCAGCACTGACAGCAAGTCTGGTCCTTTTCTTCCCAGCTCCAGATGAGACTAGACAAAGGCTAGCCCTAGTCCCTGGTGAGGTGGCATCCAGCCAGTGGATGTGGGAAAGCTCACCCTCTCCTTCTTGAAGCATCACTAGCTAGTCATTTCTATGGCAACACATCTGTAGTTCACCAACACTTTAGACATGGAAATAGATGCCTAACAGACTTGTCCAGATCCATGAACTTGGTCAAACCAGTTTGACCACTTCAGCAGTTCCTTCTACTACAAAATCCAGCCTTACAGTTATGAAACCACAGGCTTAGAGGGGACCCAATTATATCATTTCATCTAGCTCCCAATCCTAGAATCATAGTAGCCAACTCCTAGGGGCCGAATGGGCTTCTCCCCCCAGAAAATACTCGAGGGGACCAGGCCCCCCAAGTTAATGGGCATCACCATTCAAAAAAAAATTTTATTATTTTTTTTATTAAGTTTTCCGCAATTAAACCACATAACAGAACAAATAACACAGAAAGGAAGAAGAAAATAAAATAAAAAGTGCATCCAAAAAGAAGGGGAGAAAAAAACCCCCACACACAGCAGAATAAACCTCTTATCCACCACCATATAAGAAATAAACAATAAGAGTGAACTTAATCTTTTAAAAGCCCATACTTATTTACATATTGGTTGACTTCCTCCATTCCCTCCCTCCTGAATTTCCTTGTATCTCTATGTAACAGCTTTCCAATATCATTCCTAAACCAAAATATTTCCAGTTATTATCTAACTTATTCACTTTTCTTACTTTCTAAACCCCATTTATTTAATAAATCCTATTTTAATCCTAGGCCTATTTGGTACTTTCAACTGATTTCTAATTTTTTATGTTACAATATTTATTCAAATAGTCTTTAAATTTCTTCCAGTCTTCTTGGTATTCCTCTTCTTTCTGGTCGCGGATTCTTCCAGTCAGGTCAGCTAGCTCCAAGAAATCCATCATCTTCACCTGCCAATCTTCCACAGTTGGTAATTCTTGTATTTTCCAGTTCTTAGCTAGTAAAATTCAAGCAGCCGTCGTGGCATACAAAAATAATTTAACATCTTTCTCAGGCAATTCCAGGTCTGTTATCCCAAGAAGAAAGGCCTCTGGTTTCTTAATAAATGTATATCTCAACATCTTTTTAATTCATTATAAATCTCTCAGAAGTCTTTCACCTTGGGGCAGGTCCACCACATATGAAAAAAGGTGCCTTCATTTTCTTTACATTTCCAGCAAAGATTATCACTATTGTGATAAATCTTTGCTAGTTTTACTGGGGTTAAGTACCACCTATACATCATTTTCATAATATTTTCATTTAACATCGTACATGCAGTAAACTTAACCCCTTTCTTCCATAACCTCTCCCAATCCTCCAACATTATATTATGTCCTACATCTCTTGCCCAATCAATCATTACCGATTTTACTTGTTCATCCTTTGTATGCCACTCTAACAACAGATTATACATTTTAGACATATTCTTAACTTTAGTGTCTAACAACTCTATTTCCAGTTTGGATTTTTCTGTTGCAAAACCATTTCTCCTATCAATCTTATATAATTCATTAATTTGGTGATATTGTAACCAATTCACTTTATCTTTAATTTGTTCAAATGGTTTTAGTTTAAAGCCTTCATGATCTTCTAGAAATAAATCCGAATACTTCAACCATTTATTTTCCATATTTAACTTTTTGGGGGCCTGTGCTCCCATTGGCGAAATCCACTTGGGTGTTTTTCTTACTAGAAGATCTTTATACCTAATCCATACATTGTATAATGCCTTTCTGATTATATGCCTTTCTTATTATATGATTCTTAAAACCACTCTGGACCTTTAACTTGTCATACCATAAATATGCATGCCATCCAAATCGATTGTCCAGTCCTTCCAAATCTAAAACATCTTCATTTTCTAATTGAATCCAGTCCTTAATCCAGCAGAAGGCAGCAGCTTCAAAGTATATCTTTAATCTGGCAGGGAAAATCCCCCTTTTTCTTTTACATCTGTAAGTAATTTATATTTAATTCTGGGTTTTTTCCCTGGCCAGATAAATTTAGACAGTGCCTTCTGCCATTCTTTAAAACAATTAACATTATCAATAACTGGTAAAGCTTGGAATAAAAACAACATCTTTGGCAATACATTCATCTTAACCACCGATATTAGGCCCATCAATGAAAGTTTTAAATTTGACCATATCTCAAGATCTCTCTTGATTTCATTCCATAATTTTTCATAACTATCTTTATATAAATTCAAATTTTTCACCGATAAGTTCACACCCAAACACTTAACTTTTTTCACAAAAGCAAGGCCTGTCTTTTCTAAGAGAATTTTTCTTTCCTCATTATCTAAATTTCCCCCCAAAACTTTGGCTTTCCTCTTATTTAATTTAAATCCTGCTACCTGCCCAAATTCCTGTATGGGACATTCCCAGGGGAACTGAAGGAGGCAGTGGTGTGTCCGCTCTTAAAGAAAACATCATTAGATCCTTTAGATCTATCCAATTACCGCCCGGTTTCGAATCTTCCATTCCTGGGTAAGGTGATTGAGAGAGCGGTTGCTGAACAGCTTGGTAGGTTTCTGGATGAAACATCTGCTCTCGACCCATTCCAGTCCGGCTTCCGCGCTGGCCATGGGACCGAGACGGCTCTGGTCGCCCTAACAGATGATCTCCGTAGGCAGCTGGATCGAGGCGGGTCGGGGCTGCTGATTCTTCTAGACCTGTCAGCAGCCTTCGACATGGTCGATCACGAACTCCTGGACCGCCGCCTTGCCGACGTGGGGATCCAGGGCACAGTCCTTCAATGGCTGCGCTCGTTTCTCTCCGGTCGGGGTCAGAGGGTGGCGCTTGGGGGGGAATTGTCATCGCGCCACTCCTTGGTGTGTGGAGTGCCTCAGGGTGCGATTCTCTCCCCGATGCTTTTTAACATCTTTATGCGCCCCCTCGCCCAGCTTGTCCAGAGTTTTGGGCTGGGTTGCCATCAGTATGCCGATGACACCCAACTCTATCTGCTGATGGATGGCCATCCTGACTCGGCCCCAGATACACTGACCAGATGTCTGGAAGCTGTGGCTGGATGGTTACGTGGGAGCCGGTTGAAGTTAAATCCTTCGAAGACAGAGGTCCTCTGGCTGGGACGGAGCGATATGGGATTGAGGGGGCAACTCCCGTCTCTTGCGGGGGTGCAATTAGTGCCAGCATCATCCGTGAAGAGTTTGGGTGTAATCTTCGATACCTCCCTCTCTATGGAGGCGCAGATTACAGCTATAACAAAGGCGGCATTTTTTCATCTCCGCCAAGCTAAGCAGTTGGCTCCTTATCTCTCTCGCCCTGACCTAGCCACTGTGATCCATGCGACGGTCACCTCCAGACTGGACTATTGTAACTCGCTCTACGTGGGGCTGCCCTTGAGACTGACCCAGAAACTCCAGCGGGTGCAGAATGCCGCGGCGAGACTCATTACGGGGTCTTCGCTGAGAGATCATATCCATCCGGTATTATACCAGCTGCACTGGCTCCCGGTGGAGTACAGGATCAGGTTTAAGGTGCTGGTTTTAACCTTTAAAGCCCTATACGGCCTAGGACCCTCGTACCTACGGGACCGCCTCTCCTGGTATGTCCCACAGAGAAATTTACGGTCTGCAAATAAAAACACCCTAAAGATCCCAGGCCTCAGAGAGGTTAGGCTGGCCTCAACTAGAGCCAGGGCCTTCTCGGCCGCGGCTCCAATCTGGTGGAACGCTCTGTCACAAGAGACTAGGGCCCTGCGGGATCTGACATCCTTCCGCAGGGCCTGCAAGACAGAGCTGTTCCACCAGGCCTTTTGTCAGGGCGCAGCCTGACCCCCTCCTCTGGCAATCTGCACAAAATTTTGCTTGATGGTTGCCATTAATTTGATTTTAATTTGATTTAATTAATTTTATGAATGTTTTAGAATGTTGAGCTATTTTGATTGTTGTTAGCCGCCCTGAGCCCAGCTTCGGCTGGGGAGGGCGGGATATAAATAAAATTTATTATTATTATTATTATTATTATTATTATTATTATTATTATCAGTTCCAGTGCTTTTATTGCACTAGTTTCTGGGTCCTGTAAAGTTAATACCAGGTCGTCAGCAAAGGCTTTTAATTTATATTGCTTGGATCCTACTACAATTCCTTTTACCTCCTCCTCTTTCCTTAACATATTTAGCAGAACCTCCAGAACCGAAATAAATAGCAGAGGGGAAAGTGGGCACCCTTGCCTGGTTCCTTTCTCAATTCTTATTTCTTCTGATACCACATTATTGACTATAATTTTTTGCTTTTTGTTCAAAATAGATTGCATTAATACCGTTTAAAAATTCCTGTCCAACCTCTATTCTTTCCAGATTTTTTTCATAAATAACCAAGAAACATTGTCAAAGGCCTTTTCAGCATCTATAAACATTAACATTGCTTTACAATTTCTTTTAGCTTCCAGCCTTTCTAATACATCAATTATGTTCCTAATATTATCTTTCATATGTCTCCCAGGCAAAAAAACCTGCCTGATCCTTATGAATATAACGTGATAGAACCTTTTTCAATCTGTTGGCCAATATATTTGCAAAAATTTTGTAATCCACATTAAGTAATGAGATCGGTCTATAATTTTTCATGTCGGATCTATCTTGATCTGGTTTTGGAATCAGGGTTATAAAAGCATCTTTCCAGGTTTCAAGTGCTTTGTCCCCTCTTAAAATTTTATTTCACACATCTGCTAACGGCTGAATTAACCAATCTTTCAAAGTTTTATAATATTTTGCAGAAAAACCATCTGGTCCTGGGGCTTTGCCTAACTGCATCTGGTTTATTGCTATCTCAACCTCCTGTCTTGTAATCATACCATTAGGTAGTATCATTTCATCCTTGGGAATTTTTTGCATTTCATTTGCTTTAAGAAATTGCTCAATTTTGTCTTTATCTTCTTTACCTTTTTTATACAGCTGTTTGAAATATTTCTGAAAACATCTTCTTATATCTGCAGGGTTTTCCACAGATTTCCCAACAGATACAATATTTGTAATGGTACTTTGTTTCTGTCTCTTTTTAATTGCCAAGCCAACAATTTTCCACGTTTATTTGCAGATTCAAAATTTATCTGTTTCATCATTTTTATTTCCCATTCTATTTCTTGATTAATAATTTGAGAAAATTAGATCTGCAAAGCTTTAATTTCTTTTTGAATCTGTTGATTCTTAGGCGTTGATCTTAGGCTCTTCTCTTTATCTTTTATTTGAGACAGGATTTTTTCTTTTTCTCATTCTGTATCTTTTTCTTTATCGAATTTTGTTGTATGAGGAAACCTCTCATTACAGCCTTACTTGTGTCCCAAATGACTCTTGTTTCCACCTCTGTGCTCATATTTATTTGAAAATAATCTTTTAGAGTCTTCTGGGCCTTACTAATCACCTGTTCATTCCTCAACAACTCATCATTCATCCTCCATCTGAAGGAACCCTGCAGATATAATTTCATCTCAAAAAAAAAAAAACTTCATTGTGATCAGAGCAAGTCTTAGGGCAAATTTCAGTTTTAGTAACCCTAGGAACCAAGTCTCTGGATATTCATAAATAATCAGTTCTCAAAAATGATTGATTTGTATTTAAGAAGAAAGTGAAGTCACTCTCCATTGGATTTCGTAGCCCCCATATGTCCGACAGGTCATATTTGTCAGTCATCGTCCGGTTCAGATTTGGGGAGTGGTCTTCTCCGGCTTCTCCTCCAACAGAAAAGGCGGGGAAGTTTCATGGGACGTCTCTCCTCCCTGTGTTTTAACCCCCTCCTCTCCTGTGCAGACAGCACAGGGACCGGCTCTCCGTCTGTTCCTGTGTGGTGCTGGGGCTCTGCTTCAGAATCAGAGAGCCTCCGGGATCTCTCCCTCTTCCCCATCCATCACTTCCTCTCTGTCTCCCTCTGCCTGTTCCCGCTCCTCAAGGCATTCCCTGGCAGTCCCATGACAGTGAGCCACTTCTGGTAGGAAGCTTCCACACCACAGTTTATTGAGGACTTCTTTCTACTTATACATGGAAGTTTTTGAGTGTCTACATGACAATGTCCTCATCAAAATTCCAATGTTTTCTTGGCATTTAATCTGAATTTACAGTTTCTGCGCAAAACTCAATATGTAAAAACGAAAACAGAAAAAGCAAGGAAATTGAAAGTCTGGATTCAATGGGGTGTGTGAAATATAAAATGGCATTTTGATAATGATGCTGTTGTGTGGACACTGAGAAGAATGTAAATTTAAGACCAACACCGAGTACAAAAGGAATTCCTTGTAGAAATGCCCACAGTATCAAAATTCAAACTTTTTCTTGCTGTGCAGAGAATATTTATATTTGAGCTGAGTGTAAATCATCACTGAGTTTCCCAGCTAGATGGGCCAATAGTATTGACCAAGCCTTTCTGAGCTCTCCCTTTTTCTTCTAGGATGAATTCATATGCAGAAAAACTTTCATCGTTGCCTGAGATTTTCCAGGGTATATTGAAAAATATAGACGTGAATTTAGACCCCAAGACACCTTTCAATATAGCAAACAAGATATATGAGAGTTTTATGGAGCTTTTCAGTGATGGTGGAATGAAGGAAGCAGCTTCAGAAGTAAAAAAGGAGCTAGAAGAGATGGAAAACACTGAGCTTCACATTGCCATCACTGGAGAGACGGGCTCTGGGAAATCATCCCTCATCAATGCTCTCCGAAGCAAGAACGCAGAAGATGATGGTGCCGCCCCTGTAGGAGTGAAAGAAACTACAGTGGATTCAAATGTGTATACCCATTCTAACTATCCCAAAGTGAAATTCTGGGACCTGCCAGGAATTGGATCCCCAGATTTTTCACCAGACAGTTACCTTCAGAAGGTGGATTTCCAACGCTATGACTTCTTTATCATTGTTGGCTCAGAGAGATTCCGATCCAACCACATTGACCTAGCTCAGGCGATCCAGAAGATGGAGAAGAAGTGTTATTTTGTGCGCACTAAAGTAGATTCAGATCTATCCAACATGGAAAGGTCTTACCCAAATACCTTCAATGCAGAGGAGGTCCTTGAAATGATGAGGAATGACTTCAAGAAGCAGCTTGAGAAGTGCTTCAGGAACACCATCCCTCAAGTCTTTTTGATCTCCTCTTGGGACCTTGACATGTATGACTTCCCCCGACTGGTGGAGACTTTGGAGAAAGATCTGCCCAGCCTGAAGAGACTTGCATTCCTGCTCAGCCTTCCCATGTTTTCCCCTGAATTCACAGAAAAGAAGAAATCTGCGCTGAAGAGCCACCTGCGGAAAATATCCCTGGCATCTGCTGGCATCAATGCTATTCCCATTCCAGGCCTTCCTCTGGCTTGTGATGTTGCCCTCTTGTGTGGGTCCATGGTTGCCTTCTACAAGATGTTTGAGCTGGATGATGGCTCCTTAGCTAGGCGGGCCAGATTGGCCAGGAAGCCTGTTGAAGAACTGAAGGCCGTGATGAAGTCTCCTCAGGAGAAAGAATTTACCAACGATCTGGTTATAAAACTAATAACCAATTATGAAAAAGAATTATTCCGGCCTTCCCTAGTTAGAAGCTTGGTAGCAGCAGGGGTGTCTTTTGTCATCACTTATTGGATGCTGTCAAGCTTCCTGGATAATCTAGCTGAGGATGCTGATAGGGTTCGAAAGAAAGCCCTGGAACCCAGAGCCCCAGGCAGAGCACCCAGGCAGGCACAGGACTTGATGCAACCCAAGGTGAAGTAAGTAGGAACTGCTGCTGCTGTGATGGCAAACATTCCCACTTTGGCTGATTTGCAATTACTGCCATTCCCCTATGGCTGATTTGCCTTACTGCAATACAACACAATCAAGCTTTAAAAAATAGGAATAAAAAGCAACATTTTTGTAAAGTCCTTTGGAGACAAGCATGCCAGACAGGTACACCACTGCTCCCCATTTCCTGTATGGAACCCAATACTGTTATGAATTGAACTGGCCAGGTTTAATCATCCCACCCTTAGAGATTCATTAAACATGTCATGTCCATAGTGAATGCTATTTTTAACTGATACATTTAAAGTATGCTCAGATGTAAACTAGACACATTTGTCATATTGATGTAACGTCCTATTGAAACCTCTCTGTGTAACTTCTACCCAGGTATGCCTTTAAAAAAGAGAATTGTTTGACTTTGATGTAGTTTTATTAGATGCTGCTAAAACTGTTTCGTTAGATGATAGTAGGCAATAATCAAAATTACTGTAGACGTTGAAGTGTAGGTATTTTGGGCATATAGTTTTTTCCTTTCATGAAGTTTTCTGTGAACTGCCCTGAGACCTCTAGGTATAGGGCGGTATATAAATTCAATTAATTAATAATAATAATAATAATAATAATAATAATAATAAAGTTGCAGATTTTGTGGAATGCAATCTTGCCTTTCTTCGATAATTGAGAAAGCGTAGGGAAAAAACCTCCTGCAAAGGAGAATTTGGGAATACATACCCCTTCCTTGGAGCTCATTTGGCTTATGTAATATTTTGCTACCTGCCCAATTCTAGCCTTGCTGATTCAGAAAATTATGATTTAGTTAATGTTTAGTCAAGGTTTCTCAGCCTTAACAATATTTATATTTGTAATGCTAACATATTATACTGTTTTTATGTTATTAACCTCATTTATCTTATTTTCTGTAGTGCTCAATTAAGTTCTACCAAGTAAAGGAAATGCATTTGCTATTTGCCTGAAGACTCATCCTTGAATACTGAATTTTCTGTGTTGATATGAAGGGGGGCTAATTTCATCATAAAGGGAACTGAGATGAGAAACTGGATTTCTTCTTCGTAGAATTCTAGCATGCATTTTCCCCCTGAACAAAGCAAAACTGTCACACTGCCCACTCTCCTCTCCCCCTTTTATTTCAGAAATGCTTTCCTGACACTAATGCAGCAGCCCCTCTTTTCTCCCTTGGTTTGAGGGTCATCTCTCAAAGGGAGACATTCTGGTTAGGTGGCCAGGGAGAGTTGCCTGGACCACAAGGGCTGGAAATTTTAAAACATAGTTAAAAGTTTGAGATTCATAAAGTTAAGGACTTGCAGCCATTTTGAACTTTTTGTTAATGCATTCTTTAAACCTTTAAAACATGAGTCTCGCTTCCACGTTCAGTCTGAGGACAGTAGAGCCTACAGACTATTTGGGCTATGAGGGATTTTGTGAGCTTGGGTTTTGCATGTGTGGTTTTGCTTTTTTGGTTAAAACACACTGGATCATAATGGTCACGGCCCACTGCAGCAGCTCAGGAAGATGCATGGCTGGTAGTTGACACTTTATTGGCAAGAGAAACACTGACAGCAGCTCCCACAGGGCGACTTCTTCTGCACGGAAGCCGCTGCTGCTCATTCCTCTTCAAGCCCCTCCTGGTTCTAGGAAATGGCGGAGCAGGGGAAGGCGGCGAGTCAACTGGCCCATCCCTTGGCTGAACAGTTTCTTCTTCCTCCACCGCATCCTGCCCCAGCTCTTCTCTTCTTCTTCTTCTTCTTCTTCTTCTTCTTCTTCTTCTTCTTCTTCTTCTTCTTCTTCCTCCCCCTGGTCTGGCTCCCATAAACCAGTGGCTCCCTTTCCTGGGTCAGCCTCCTGGCCCCCTGTCTCCACCACATTCACAATCCCTGACATCTCTTCTCTGAGGAAGAATAACCCAAGACGTTATGTTGCCTGAGATGAAGGGCAAGATGGCCGCTGCCCCTCCCTCCATTCCATGGGCAGAAACCAACTGGATCAACCACTGAATGACTTCAGAACACGGGCAATGGGGCCCTGACCTCTCCTCACGTGAGGGAAATGGCCTTAGGGGACTTAGGCAGGCTGTTTCCAAAGGGGTAGCCATGTCGGTTTGTTGAAGCAAAAACAGCAAAGGCAGACCCTCCAAGTATCCCTATGTTTCAGGGATGTCCCTGATTTAGAGAAGCCGCCCTGGTTTCTGATTTGATCCGGAATGTTCCGCTTTTCCTTAGGATGTCCTTATTTTCATTGGAGAAATGTTGGAGGGTATGGAGTTATCTGGCCCCTGAGCTGCCTGAAGGCAATCTTGTATGGGGAAGTTATTTAAATGTTTAATGTTTTATTGTGTCTTTATATTTGTTGGTAGCTGCCCAGAGTGGCCAGCTAGCCAGCATGGCCAATGAAGCCCAAAACATCTGGAAGGCATCAGTTTGAGGAAGGCTGTAGGGACCTTCCAGGTGTCCTTTTTATTGAGCATTCATATCTGAGCTCATACTGGGGTGTTTATACGTGATCCCACTTTCAATACCCTTTGCATCTGCAAATGTTTTGGGATGGTCATACTGCTTCGTTTGCAATAGGCATGGGTCCATAGTTTCCTGCTAAATGCCAGTGTGGTGTAGTGGTTAAGAGCGATAGACTCGTAATCTGGGGAACTGGGTTCGCGTCTCCGCTCCTCCACATGCAGCTGCTGGGTGACCTTGGGCCAGTCACACATCTCTGAAGTCTCTCAGCCCCACTCACCTCACAGAGTGTTTGTTGTGGGGGAGGAAGGGAAAGGAGAATGTTAGCCACTTTGAGACTCCTTAGGGTAGTGATAAAGAGGGATATCAAATCCAAACTCTTCTTCTTCTTCTTCTGCAACTTTTTCGTAGCACAAATGTTGATGGGTGTGTATGTTATTGGCCTCTTGGCAAATTGCCCTGCTGTCCAGCCAGCGCTTCCCCTGCGCAGCTCTGCTCGGAAGCTGCAAGCTGACCCAGGCAGGGGGGCAGAGTGCACGCAGCAAGAAACTGTTGCTGTGCGTGTGTGTAAACATAAATCAGGCAGCACGCACGGTGTCTTCCTTATCTTCTAAAAGTCTTTATTCGTGTAGAAAAACAGCTCTTAAACCTCTCCGGGCGACAACGCACACATCTTGCGTCCTCTCTCCGCAAAAGCAAAACCAGAACTGAACTCAGGAAACACTCCCCTCAGTATACTCAACCACGCCTCAGAATGTAAGACGTCACTCAGAACCTCTTAACCTTGTAGGTTCTGATTCTCTCCACATATGTTGCCCACTTTTGTCACACTACAGAGCAAGAGTGACCTTTCAGATGGCAATAATAATCGAGTGACATTGGGTAAGTGTTGCAAAACTATTAATAGAGTGGCATGGTATGTGGATGGCCCACTATAAACCACCCACTCATGCATTATTACTGTGTCAATGACATGTCTCAAGGCAAATCTAAAAAAATGTAGTATAAACACTGACTACTGGGAAACACTGGCCTGCGAGCGCTCCAGTTGGAGAACAGCCTTTACCAAAGGTGTCATGGGCTTTGAAGACACTCGAACTCAGGACGCAAGGGAGAAACGTGCTAAGAGGAAAGCACACTTGGCAAATCCACACCATGATCAACACCCGCCCAGAAACCAATGTCCCCACTGTGGAAGGACGTGTGGATCCAGAAGTGGCCTCCATGGTCACTTACGGACTCACTGTTAAAACCATGTTTATGGAAGACAACCTTACTCAGCCCAGAGTGATTGCCAAAGAAGGAGGGGGGTCCAGATAATTCACAATATTTCTCATTTATGAGACTTTCATGGAAAACTGAAAGCTGATTAGTAAGGGTGGCCAGGAGATTACCGTATTTTTCGCCCTATAGGACGCACCGGCCCATAGGACGCACCTAGATTTTGGGGGGTGAAATAAAGGAAAAAAATTTATTCCCCCCCCCCCAGGCGCGGGGCTGGGGCGGGGGAAGCTCGGGCTTTCCCCGACGCCAGCCCCCAGAACAGGACCCAGAGCGATGTCGAAGCTGTGTGCAGCTTTGGCATCGCTCTGGGAGCTTGTGGGGCTGGAGGAGGGGCTTCCCCCTCCCCCAGCCCCCAGAACGGGACCCAGAGCGATGTCGAAGCTGAGTGCAGCTTCGGCATCGCTCTGGGAGCTTACGGGGCTGGAGGAGGGGCTTCCCCCTCCCCCAGCCCCCAGAACGGGACCCAGAGCGATGCCGAAGCTGCGTGCAGCCTCCCCGCTGTCCCCCGAGCTTGTGGGGCTGGCGGTGGGGCTCTCCTGAAGCCTGCATTCACCCCATAGGACGCACACACATTTCCCCTTCATTTTTGGAGGGGAAAAAGTGTGTCCTATAGGGTGAAAAATACGGTAATTTAACCAATTAGTTTATTTCATGAAAACTTATACCCCACTTGATTCTAATAAAACCTCAAAGCAGTTTGCAAAGAGAAAAAATAATAAAACCAAGAAACAATTATAGTCATGCTTTAAGATATGCAAGAGCTAAAATACTAAAACAGACTAAAATTACCTCAACTTTCTATTTCACAAATGTGGAGGCTCCTGTCTAGCTGAATGCCCTCCTTCAGTTTGAGTGTGTATGAGGGAAAGAAAATTCTGAAATAGATGTTGCATGGGGCTTGTGATACAGAGCTAACTCTTGTTCCTAAAGAAAAACAGCAAATGCAGCATATATATATAGAGAGAGAGAGAGAGTAGGAGAGAAAGTGAATGCTGCAGCCTCCATAAATTCTAACTTGAGACCATCCCTGCAAGCAGGTTCACATAGGTCACTAGTTTTTTCTAGTCTGACATCATATACAGAGCAATTCATCAGTGGACTGAAAGAAGTATGAATAGGAAAAAGTCCATTTGTCCCAAAGTCTCCTTACAGTATTGGTCTTAATCAGGGGTCTGCAACCCGCGGCTCCGGAGCCGCATGCGGCTCTTTTACACCTTTGCTGCGGCTCCGGGGTGGATACTAGCGAGGGGAGGAGGCGCATTGTTCGCCCCGACACTCCCCATTGTGGCGGGTGCTGTGCTGGCTGTGACGTCGCATGGGGCGGTGCATGCGTTAGTCACGCACCGTCCCGACATCACCTTCCCGCCAGCCCGCTACATTGTAAGGGGCATGTACGTTGGTCACTGTTTTGAAGGGGAGTGAAGAACACACACACACAAAAAGGTAACTTGCTAATTTAACGTTTATTTCTATTAGGAGGAGTAATTCTGAGGGGTCAAACAAAGAAATAATAGTAAAAAGTGACAAAAAAGTTATTTTTATAATGACGAGTTTTGCAGCTCCCAGTTGTTTTTTTTCCGGAAATGGGTCCAAGTGGCTCTTTTTGTCTTAAAGGTTGCAGACCCCTGGTCTTAATTCTTATACATTGGATAGAGATACTAATTTTAAAAAGTAACTGAAAGGGTATTATGCTGGCATTCAGATTATTTCACTTAGGATTTTTTATAAAAAATGAGAAGCCTAAGATTTATGGAATTTTTAAAATAAAAAACCTGATAATCTGATTATTATTCTTTTAATGTTTTTTGGTGGTGGTTGTTTTAAAAATGGAAACATATAATTCACCAGATACTATATATCAAGCACTTAGTCATCATGGCACATCTGTTTGCTGCTAAATGGACTTTTTCCCCTCTGCCTCAAGAGCTTTGGACAAAACCCTCTGGGTGTCATTAGCAGCACCAGATATGCATTTCTGCAGCATGAAGTAGGTGCGAGGAAGCGAAATCCCAAGGGACAGAAGGCAGCCAAAGATGGGGAAATGCTCCCAGCGGTGATATTCATAAGCCATCACTGAGAGTCCCACCAAGTCTGGCAGCACCCATAAAATGGCAGAGAACATTCCCAGGGACTGCATTGCTGCTTTAAGGGCTGTGCTTGTCTTTCCAACACACTGGGCCAGAGCTGCAAGGGATGGATTGTCTAGGCCAAAGTCTA